AGCGACTTCTGGAGAAAGATACGGTACATAAGTCATAGAAAAACTGAGTCAGTCATTGTGGAGAAAATAAAATACTAAACTGAGTCAGCCATGACTAAGCTCGCTCCCAAGTGGAAATAACACTCTGGCTAGGTACAGGTAAAGATCTTTTACGGAGTGTCAGGAGGTTGGAATGGATTGGTTGTGAAGTTCTTCTCTTCGGACAGCGACATGCCTGAGCACGAGAGGACGACTACAAGTTACTAGATCAGCATGGGTCATGACTCGTGAGCTTTTTTTTTTTTTAAAAAAAACATAGACTCATGAGCTTTATCGCTTCACTTTTACATCTACTATCATTAAGCCGGCGAGCTTTGGCCGCCGCTCAGACAGTCCACGATAGCAAAAAGAATTTACAGCGTTCATTTGCCGATCTGTGGTTCGCCTTTTACTCGCTTCTTGCCTCTGCTTCCCGACACTTCTCTTCCCTTCCCCACGCTTCTCCGTATTCCTCCCTCTTCCTCTCCCGAGCCCGACACCCCTCCCGCTGAACGCGCTGCGCCTCTGCCGCCTCCGTCCACGCCTTCCCTTCCTCTCTCTCCCTCGTCCTCTCCCGACGTGTCATTGCCCGTGCAAGCCAGGGGCCCCAAAGATCACCAGCCAAGCTGTGCTCAGCCCGCCGATGGCGCCCAGGTTGCGGTGCGCCGCTGCTGGCGCCTGGCGGCCGTCCGCCAGTACCATCCCCACGCCACAGCCCAAGCGGGCCTCGCCGGTGGCCGCCAGCGCGGGTGCCTCCTACGCGGCTTGCTCATGCTGATTCGCGTCTCCTCCTCCTGTGCCCCACGAAACCCTAGCTACCTTTCTTCATCTCTTCGCCATGGTTCTTGAAGATGAAGGCTGCGCGTACAGCAGCTCCGGTAATCTTGAAGGCGCCACCCCCATGCCGTCCCTCTGCTCCATGACGGGGACGAGCTTGACGACGGCGTGACCTAGCGCCGATTCCATAAGGTGCGTCACTCTGCTTCATCCTCCCTTTTCTATTTTGATTACAAAGATATAATTCACTCAACATTGTTTTTTTGGGCGCTAAAACAGAATGAGGTCATTTGTTTGTACTTATGAACAACCATTGTCCATTTTCTTGGTCCATTTACAGGATTATCAAGAGCACTGTTTCTTTCTTTGCAGAATTTTGCCGGAACTGCTGAGTTGGTTAATAGGCTAACAGCTAATAATAGTGATGTATTCCTTGTGTCAGGAGGATTCTGACAAATGATCAAGGTAGGTCCTGTAATATCATCACATGGTTTGTTTCCGCTGGCTTGTACTCAAATTTTAATGGTTGTTGTATTCCGAAGTTTGAGCTAACTTTACTTTAATGTGACTTTTGTTGAAAATAAATATACACTATCTGTTGTAAATAACCAGGAATGTAGGAAAGTATAAAAGTACAATTTCTTTTAGCCACTCTGTTAACTTACAGATTTGCTGAATATATGTAACATGGAAGTGACTGCTCACTCTAATGGGTTATCATTTAGTGGCTCACAATCAACACTTTCATGTCTGCCTTGTTCGTAGCCACCAGAAGATGTTTCCCTGTTATTGCTGAATGTAGCAGCCAGATTGGTCCTAACTTATTGCAGGACTACTTTTAGTTGACACACCTTGGATAAAAATATACAGCAATGACAGGATTTTATATAGGTGCCTTGGATTGTTCAGCATAAACGATGTGTCATATTTACTTGCCCTCCTCAGCATGTTTGTCTCAACTAATAATGGGCCAATTTCTTTGTAGTTACCAGTGTCATTGTGTTCTATTTTGGTGCTTCCATAAAATTTGGATGTGATTATTTACAGACTTCTGTAAAAGTTGTTCTATTTTTTTATCTCCATATCACCCCTGATGGAAATGAACTAAACTGTAGCTTCCACAGGCCTACTATATTCATACTCCCATCTCCCAATTCAATAAGTGCTTTGCCAATTTTACTTATGTCGACACCTGAATGTTCTTCATTGTTATGATTCCACAGCCTAATCGTATCTGAGCTAATTTTTATGTCCAAAAAATACACATATCCCTTATGCTCCCACCTCCTTGCCATATGATCCAACCATCTCTGTTCATAATGTTTAAGATGCTATCTTCCTTTATGTTATTACAAGAAGCCCACACATTTGTGCTATGACTCACCACTTGGCAATGACTATTAAAAGAGCCATTCCCAAGCTTTGTACGATGTGAATAGCCTACAACACACGTCTTGATGCAGTATGATAATGCTTAGTCATGCTCCAGTAACCAAATGTGTTTAAAATCCCATGTGCTCTTGTTCGCATACAAATAGCAATGTGAGGTGCTCCTGCTAATCATCATATCATCTCGTTGCCTTTTAGGTTCCTAATTGAATTGACCTCCGATCTTATAAAAATATATACACATCTCCAGATCTACAAATGCATTTTCAACTAACTGCCGACGCGCGCGAGGGCGCGCATGATGGACTAGTTTATATTACTCGAAGAATGCTCCGCGCGTTGGTGCGGGAATCGTAGGTAAAATTATACTACTTATGCCTGGTTTAGATTGTAAGTTTTTTCACTCTCTCTTTATCACATCAATTTTTTGGACACATGCATAGAGTATTAAATGTAGATAAAAAAATAACTAATTACACAGTTTGATTGTAAATTACGAGACGAATCTTTTGAGCCTAGTTAGGCCATGATTGGACAATAATTATCAAATACAAATGAAAGTGCTACAATGCCAAATACTGATTTCTAACTTCAATCTAAATAAGCCCTTATGTTTAATTATATGAACGATTGAATATCATCATATATGTTAGTGGACGATTTTTAGTATTTTGATATGGATAATTAAATATAGATTATTAAATGATGTGATTCGCTAAAAGCAAGTATAATAAGTCTTGCTAGGCGGGCTGTAACTTCTTTCACGTCATCCAAATCCTACTTGGAAGAGTGAGAACACAGGAGAAAAAAGAAAGCGGGCGCATAATCTACCGCCCGGCTGTAGTACAGGCACCGAGAAAACTACGCCCGCCTGCATCCGAGTGCAGGCGGTACAGACGTCGTTGCCTTCATCCTTCGGATCCCATGCGGCTCACTCTCACTCGGACACCCGGCCCATAGTAGCTTGCTTCGCCCGGTCACAAAGATATAGCCACAAGAAATTGTATGTCCATTCAAATATAAAATATTTAAACCTCGGTAGAAGCAACCTTACAGCCGGCTCATTAGGGCGTCCACAGTGGAAATAGACAGCCACTAGCTATTTGCAATCTGACTCACTCCATGGGTCCACCTGTAAGAGTATTTTATTCATTTGTTTAAGATGAGAAGCGGAGATAACGCGGTGGACAGAGTGTGCTTGTCTTGGGAGACGCAAATCGATTAGCGAGGAACTCGGCGCTAGCGAGAAGTATTTCCAGCTTTCTCTGTCATCCACGTAGATGAAAATCCTAGTCAGCTAGCTCGGAGCTGGTCCGTTGGAGCCGCCCTTATACGAGTATTTCTCTTTGATGGCTTGATGTGAGGTGGCACTGTTAGGGCAGTCTCAATACTAAAAACTACATGTAGTTTCTATACATATTAATTTTTACAGATATAACATATAGAAACCATGGTCTCAATGGATAGTTTTTACAGAACAATTTTTTATCCAATCATATACATTCTCTCCATTCTCTGTCAATCACATCCATTTATGTCTTGGTTCTCATATAGACATGGTTTCTAACTTAGACCCGGTTTCTATGATTTTTGCTCTCTCTCTTCGATAACTATCTTGTCACATCAGCAAAACTCTTAGGTGACAGTACAATTAATGTCCATAGAAACTATGATGGTCTCTGCATTAGGAGTACCCTTATACAGCCCGCTGCCGATGGGCTTATTAGCCATGCTCTAATATGAATAACTTGAATGAAAACATAATGACATGTGCAAGTGGATGTTGATGTGGACATTTTGTATGCGATATAGTTGCATGTGCAAGTGGATACTAATGTGGACGTTTTGCATGACGAGATAGATTGTTAGTGGGGATCATGAGATAGATTGCTAGTAACGAGGATTAAAAGAATACAGAATAGATATAGACTACCGCCGCTGTACGTGTTCCAGGGGCATTCATTCATGCATGCACGTCTTGTGGATGCCAACGCATATCTCAGATGTCGATCGAAAGACCAGACCGAGGAAAGGGCAACGGAAAGCCGGACTTGTGGGGCTCTTGGGCAAATCGGAGGGCAGGCCGTTCAAATCCACCCATGTTGCAAGCAAATTGTTCCACATACGCAGATCCTTGCGATGTCCAAAATTCGCAACATGAGTATTTTTCTTATATATATATATATATATATATATATATATATATATATATATATATATATATATATATATATGTATATTCGAGAATGCGACACTGGAGTAACTCTCGACCTATAAATAAAATAGTACAAATGTTTGAAATAAATCATTTGGCCCAAAAATTCAAACTCAATAATGCGACCCGAAACAACTGGGGTAGGTGGACCGTTGTATAGGAGTAATAACAATAATAATAAATACACTACTTAGCCGTTGGAGCGGAGTACGGACGATGTGCGCGCGTTCTGGCCGTGCGAGTGTGAGTGTGATAGTTTTGCCGTTGCTTCGTGCCGAATGTGTGTCAGAACACTACTTGCCGTTGGAGCTAGTACGCCGTGTTCACAATGAGGCTTGTCGGCTATTCATACAGTATTTTCCTTTTTTTTTCTATTAAAAACAGAAGGCACAACTCCGAGGCTGCACAGATGTGAATGATGATTCGCGCCACTGCACTATATATACGCTGTCTGAAAACCGAAGGGTCAAAGAGGCCTTTTTGCTCGATCCACCAGCCTAGCCTAGCCTTGGCCCTGTTTGTGTTTGAACTTTTTAGCCTGCATCTCTCCACACATACAGACCGGAAAAGAAAAAAAAAACTCACACCGCGCGAGTTTGGCATGGACAGGCAACGGTCGTGTCTAACCTGCCTGTGCTTCGGTGTCCTGGCATTCAACTCGAGTCTCGCCATCTACCGCTCCTGGGGCGACGCCGGGTCCGTGGGACTCGTGCTGCTCGCGGATGCTACGCTCCTGCTGCTTTTCCTCTGCCTCCGTGAGTTCGAGCGAGGCGTTGGCAGGGGCAGGGATGCAATGATCAAGGCCGCGGTGTGGGCGCTCACGACGCTGCTCACGGCCATGTTCGCGTCCAGGGTTGCGCCGCTGATGCCACCGCTCGTCGGCGCCCTTGTCTGGGCGATGGCCGTCGCCACGGCCACCGGCGGCCTCTGGGTGTTCTTCCTGAATCCATGAAGCGTTGCAGACAGAGTATGCGTTTCCTGTTTGTAGCAGCTTGTACCCTATTCTTTATTCTTTATTTATTTTATATATGTATGTGCAGTACTATATGTATACTCTGCTTCCGTTCTATGGCAGCTCCTTCCGTTGTCATGAATTTGATCTTGAAATTAGTCGTGTATAGATACATATATTCAGATTGTCATTTCGTGGTGACACGCATTATGATTGCGTTGCATGCGTGCAAAGTAAGCTGCCTCTTGAATTGTCATTGCCAATACATGGAACCCAGTAATCCACCCTTTTCGTGCCTCTAGAGAAAAACAGTGGCACCATCCGCATTACCGAGTTGCATGGATCGAGTCGCCTATCAGTGATGCTGTCGGCACGCACGCAGCTGGCACCTTCGAGTAGGTCGATGGTCGTCGCGGCGTGATCGGCACAGAGCGTCCATCACATCGGTGACAAGGCACGGAAGAAGAGGACTGTATCTCAGCAACTACGAGCAGGCAACTAGCGCTTGCCCATGTTGCTTCTTGCTTGCCAGGCTGCCAGTTTGACACTTACACACGACGCGGCTTTGAACTGATGAGCCGAACTATTTAAATTCTAATCAATCAAATTTATACAAAGAATATTAATATCTGTAATACCAAATAAATGTTTTAAGATTTGTCACCGGACAAATTTTCATATTATGCCTAGTTTGTGCTATATATAAATATTAATATTCTCTTCTTGCTCCTTTTTTCAGAAAGAATTAATTAATACTAGCTCAATGATAATTGCATACTACATTAAGAAAGGCAGAGGCGCGGCAACGGTGGTACCATCCCTGCCGTGCCCGGTGGCTGTACCTACCGTCCCATGCATGTCTTGAAAAATATCAGCCACCCGTTCATCTCTCTCTTTCGCATGCGTGTCTTAGAAAATATCAGCCACCGCTCATCTCTCTCTCGTGCCTCCCAGCCTCCGCTTTATCTCCCTCTCGCATACCTCCAGCATTACTCCTTCCATCTCTCTCTCGTTGAGGTGCGGGCTAGCGTCCCGGGCCTCCCGGCGCAGCATCCTCGATGTCGCCTCGGCACGAGTAGGTCCGGCCTCGGCTTGGCCTCAGCACGAGCGGGCCACGACGCGAAGGCCCGAGCGGCCCTCGACACGGCGGCGCAACGGCGCCACCGATCCCAGTCAAGGGTGGACCAGCGCGGCAGGCCTGGCACTAGTGGCTCCCCGGCGGATCTGGCTCCCTCTCTCAGTCACGCGGGCGCTGCCTCCTTGCCGCGTCGCGCAACCGCCGCCGCCGCCAGCCCGCATCCTACAAGCTCCACTGGGCCGCTGCCTCCAGTGAACTCCACACGCCGACGAGCCTCCATTCTCTCAAGCAGCGAGGAGATGTTGCACTGCGCTGAAATCGCATGTTGCAAACGTATATTTCAAGTGTTTCAGATGTTTCAGAGGTATGTTGCAAATGCTTCACATGGATGTTGCAAAAGTAGATCGGGAATTTTGCACGTGTTGTATATGTTGCAAGTGTTTCATATGAATGTTGCAAGCGTTTGTTCAAAATATTTTATATGTTTCGGACATATGTTTGGAAGCATTTTTTATCTGAATGTTGTATATGTTTCACACATATGTTGCAAGAGTATGCCGAAATGTTTCATCTGTTTCAGTCTTATGTAGCAGCAAGTGTTTTCATGTTGCAAGTTAACAGTGTTTTATCTGGACGTTGCATATGTTGCAGTGGCTATACACGATGTTGCAAGTGTATGTTTCAAATGTTTCAGCTATTTTCATAAATATGTTGCAAATGTTTTATCTGGATGTTGCATATGTGCAGTGTCTATACACATATGTTGCAAGCGTATGTTTCAAATATTTCACCTATTTCAGACGTATGTTGTAGCAAGTACTTCATGTTACAAGTGTTTTCATTAGCAAGCACGGAAAACGAGCGCAGGTTGAGGTGGTCCCCGCGTGCATGCGCAGCATCATGGCGCGCGTAGGTGCGCCAGCAGCAGCAGGCACATCCGGGCGCGTGCAGCAGGTGCATGCGGAGTATCAGAAAATTCTCATGCTTGTAGCTGGGGTCCACGACAATGACCGGTTGCATCTCCCGTGTTTCGGTGACCATGCATCATTGGAGACTGGGGCTACGCGCATCCGCTTCCCGCTCAAAAATTGTGAGCATGCGGGCGCATGGAGCAGGCGGGGCATTCGGCAGCAGCATGCGCATCAGGCAAGGCAGGCGACTTGTGTTGACCCAGTACCATTTGCGGGCCTCGCGGTTGCGTACGTTTGCATCGTCGCCTGTTCGTCATCAGCCTCGGCTGTCGAAATCGAGACTTGTGTTGGCCTAGTACCATTTGCGGGCCTTGAACGTGCAGGATTCTATCGATAACACACAAATATCTACAGTTGGCCCACCCAGCCCATATCTACAGTTGCTTTCCTTTTACATCTCCACCATATTAACACAAAAAGTCAGCAGAGTAGCTTAGCGTGTGCCTCTGCTTCACACCGGCCCTCGGCCCTCGACTCAAATGGTGAACAGAAGGGAGGGTCTATTTATTAACTCCCGGAAATACTTGTCAAATGGAGCTTTTCCAGAAACGATGGTTGATCGATCGGGTGCAGCCATGGGGCACTAAGGGGTGATGGCGCGAAATGCCGCCATGGCTGGCTGGCCGGAGCTCTGAGCTCTAGTTAATGGCAGCATATTTAGCTGCCGTCCAGAGAGAAGGGGATGGCACTCTGATTCCAAATGCCGACTGTGTCTACCCAGTGCACTCATCTGAACGTACACGTAGCTATAATATTAACAAAGGACGCTAGAGATGTGTTTAGGGACAATTTTCTATTTGTATCTCTAAAGTTGCATGATAAACCTACTTAATTGACCGGTGACTGAATTCTTTTTCCTTCAAGCTGCAGGGGCTAATGAAGTAATAAGTGTTTGATCTGGAGAGCACCACATGGTTATATTATATTATATCACCTCGTTTTGGAAGGCGTTAGACGGCCTGTCCCATATCAATCTCAGAACCCTTGCCCCTTGGTTGCTGCAACGGTCCGTGATCTGATTTTGATCACAACTACCTCAGTGTTTACAGTTTGATGTGGCAGGAATGTAATGAGGCGAAACTTTCATCAGAAACTAACAATTTCTCACAGATGATCCTCTTGCACTGACCATCCATAAAGTACGCCATAAAATATGAGCAGCTTATTTTATCCAGTGAATCCGATCCAAATGGAATTTGATGTCACGCTCCGACCTTGCCCAATGGCAGAAGCCTACGCAAGTACCAAAGGCACAGCGATCTTTCTGAAAAATAAGCTCATCTTTGCCTGTTATTCAAAGCAAAAATCGATTACCTATTCAAGGGCATGGTCGACCTAAAGTTATGTGCTGCGTATGTGTCTAACGAGGCAACGAACGTGTCAGTACCTGAAACCCAACGCACATAAAATTTATGTCATATACATGCGCAACGTATATGTCCAACGTACATAAAATTTTATGTACATATATAAAGTTTATGCTTTACGTGCTCAATATTCGTGACAACTACGTATATTGATTATGAAATATAGTTTTAAACAAGCTAGCATAATATACACACTTGATTATATAACAAGTTTTAGATGGCTAAAATCCATGATTCAATTAATATATATGTTAGTTGTTGATATGTTTTATATATTGTATATCGTACTTATTTTTCATGCAAGGAAGGGTCAAGGGTGTGCGGAAGGGGTTGTGTCCTCGCGCTTGTCTCCTGTGATGAGGTACAATATCCTTTTTCTTTTTTAGATTAACTAATTAATTTTTTTAAAAAAACCTAGAAAATCAATGGTTCAGATTTATTTGATGTATTACCTCCCAGTAAGTAAATGAAGTATCGTAGCATTGCTCGTGTGTGATAGCTTTGTAGAAGGATCCATCATCAAACTTGTACTAAACTCGAACCTGGCTAAGCAGTCCTCTGATCTTGTCCCCAAATCCTCTACCTATCCCAAATTCCAGTTCAATTCTATCGATAGCTAACATATATTATTGCCGGAAATACTTGATAAATGGAGCTTTTTCCGAACAGGCCCTAGATTCCTTTTCTTCGTGCTCCAATCAGCACACATCGTTGCATGTTTTTGTTTGTTGCTATATATGGCCGGGCGCCGGGCACTTCATTCCCGACCTCTGCACTTCATTCCTGTACATATGAACTCGAAGAGAGAGGAACGTAGAGTACAAAGACACCGAGACCATACAAAACTTGATTAACTTTATTCCAAATTCCAAAAAAAGGAAAAGGAAAAGGAAATTTGCATTACACGTCCATGATGCACCATCTCATGTACAATCACAAGGAACAAAGAAACATGCATGTACATTACATCAAGCAAATAAAGGCATCTCGTTGATGTATATTCAACGGGCCGGGCGTTGCCAGCGATCTTGTTGCCGACCCCTGGGCTGCATGTAACGACGCAGATGATGATGACGACGACGACGACGTCGATGATGATCGATAACGTGTCCGTTCACACGTGTTTCATTAAGAGGAAATGACGATGACGATGATGATCGATCGATCGACCCCGTACGACCCACAGCTATGGCTGCCCCTGCCCCTGCTCGGCAGCGTGACCGCGGGCGAATGCACGGACGAAAAGGACCGTCAGGATTCCGAGGAGGGTGTACGACACGAAAACGAGCGCCGCCGAGTCCGAGTCGCGCCGGGTGTCGTAGGCGTCGAGCGCCTTGTTGCACGTCAGCACGGCGAAAGCCACCTTAGCAAGCACGCAATACTGCCCGTCCATGTTGACTCTGCCGCCGCCGCCTTCTCCGGCGCGGTCGTGATCGACGTCGCGGAGGCAGAGCAAGACCAGGGCGCCGACGGCCAGCGGCATGATCGTCGGCGCTACCCCGGACGCGAACATGGCCGTGAGCAGCGCTGTGAGCGCCCACACCGCGGCCTTGGTCTTGGCATCCCTGCCATTGCCGCCACGCTCGAACTCACGGAGGCAGAGGAAGAGCAGTACGAGCGCGGCATCCACGGCGAGCACGGACGTGACTGAGGCGGCGTCGCCCCAGGAGTTGTAGATGGCGAGCACCGAATTGAAGGTCAGGGCGCCTAAGCCTAGCTTGGTCAGGGTAGAATATTGCCGGTCGGCCATGCGAAATACGGGTAAATCGCACTGATTCTAGCACTAGTAGTGTCCTTGAGCTCCTTAGCTTGGGTTGGAGCGAGTTTGATTCGAGAAGGGCGATCTCTGCGACAATTTATAGGGAGAAGATGAAGTGCTCCGGTTGGCACCATTGTGACGCCCAAAACAAAAGGGCTATCAGTACGAGGGGGCAGAGCATGAAAGAGACATAAATATTCTCAAAAGAAAAGAGAGATAAACAAAAGAAATGGAAATGCAAGTGTCTACTCTTCAACCCATGTTAGTCCACCATCGCGCCATGGCACCATTCATGGAGCAGGTCACTTTCACCGCAATCCGAGGTTATTGTCACTTGGAAAAGCAAAAAGCTTTTTCTATCTAAAGCGTAATGATTCGGATCGGAAGGTGCCGCCGCTACACTCACGTAAACTGTTGAAAATAACCTGAAATGCCAGACCCCTGCAGAAAGTGTTATTACAACATTATGTTTACTGTCATGTCTCCATCACAAGAGGATTCAGAACCATGGCGGCGCACTCTGGGAATGTTCCCGTCTCTGACCAGCCGTGACCAATATTGCATTGTGCTCCATCAAACACATTAGCCGGCGGCAGAGCTCCCTGGTCCTAGGAACTCACCTTTTCATCATTATTAAACCTTTCAGCCTATGGGCCTGAGCTCCCAGGGGAAATAAAACATGGCCGGCCCGGCGACGGTTCAGGACACCGAACCCAACCCGCGAAGGCCAACATGCTCCAAGAAAAAGCTCACGCCTGGCCTGTCAGGGGCAGGGCGACGGCGACCATTCTATATTGCCGGAAATACTTGTCAAATGGGGCTTTTTCAGAAACGATGGTCCATGGGGTGCAGCCATGGGGCACTAAGGGGTGACCAAATGCCGCCATGGCGGGCTGGCCAGAGCTCTGAGCTCTAGTTAATTGCAGCATATTTTTCTTTTTAGGAATCTAATTGCAGCATATTTAGCTGCCATCCAGTCTCCAGAGAAAGGCCGGGCACTTTGATTCCGAATGCCACCCATCTCAAGGTAGCAATAATATTAACAAAGGACTAGAGATGTGCTTGTCGACAATTTATATTCCTAAAGTTGCATGTTAGACCTACTTCGTGAGATTGACGGGATCTTTCGGTGCTCCCAGATCGATTGGTGATGGATGTTGAAGTCCCTTTTCTTCAAGTTGCAGCCTTGCAGGGGCTAATGAGCTGAGTGTTCTGTAGGGCACCACATGGACGGTCTGTTGACCTTACCTCGTTTCTGAAGGCTATACACGGACGGATGGTCTGTACCCATACCAATCCCATACCTCATTTCGGAGTGCTTGGCTCGTCGAAACCATGAAAGCGCAAAAGACAGAAAAACAAACTTGACTCTTTCTCGCCAGTTGCGCTTGCGCATCCACGCACGGCCGCACCGCGAACCAAAACTATATAAAGATTAGAGAAGACCCCGGGCAGTTCGTTTAACCGGCAGAATCAGTGCTATTTTTTTTAACTGTCACGGGGGATTGAATCCCACAATCAGTGCTATCTTTTTTTTAACTGCCATGCCACGGGAGATTGAATCCCACAGTCAGTGCTATTTTTACTCCGCATTTCACATGGCTGAGCGGCAATATTCTACCCTGACCAAGCTAGGCTTGGGCGGCCTGACCTTCAACTCGGCGCTCACCATCTACAACTCCTGGGGCGACGCCGCCTCCGTCACGTCCGTGCTCGCCGTGGATGCTGCGCTCGTACTGCTCTTCCTCTGCCTCCGTGAGTTCGAGCAGGGCGTCGGCAGGGGCAGGGATGCCGAGACCAAGGCCGCGGTGTGGGCGCTCACAGCGCTTCTCACGGCCATGTTCGCGTCCGGGGTAGCGGCGATGATCATGCCGCTGGCCGTCGGCGCCCTGGTCTTGCTCTGCCTCCGTGAAGTGTTGTGTTGGCTGGCTGTATTAAAGACCATCCTGTAAACCTGATAGGTTAACGAAGTGAATAACAGAACTTCCCCCAATTTCCCTTCTCTGGTTTGCTGTTCTTCGCCTGTCCTGCTGTTCTTCCCCTTTTACCCCAAATTAAAGATGAAAACCGGAAATTCCCCGTCGGGTATTGCTTCTCCGTCCCCGTCCCCGCGGGGCTAAAATTTTCCCGTCCCCGTCTCCGTTAAGGCTCACAGGGGACGTTTTGTTCCCATCCCCGTCCCCGTGCGGGGAATTCATCCCCGACGGCAACCCGTCCCCGCTATAGGATCAAAAACAATTCCTCAAATCAACAATCCAAAGGCATGAAAATACTAACGCCTTATTTAGTTCCTCTCCTTAAACCTTACTCTCTATCACATCGGATGTTTAGACATGTACATAGAGTATTAAGGCCCCGTTTGGCAGGGCTTCTCCAGCGGCTTCAGGAGCCATTTGGAGTCGTTTTCTGCCAAACGGGATAAAATGAAACGGCTCTACCGATGAAGCCCCTAAAAACGTGCTCTCACAGAGCTTTGGGGTGGGAATGAGTCAAAAATAGTGGCTTCTCCCGGCTCCTCCTCCAGGCCCCTAAAAACATGCTCTCACAGGGAAGCCATTTTGCCAAACGGTTTACCAAAACCGCTTCAGCTCCACCGGTGGAGCTGTTCGTGGAGCTGAAGCAAAAAAAAATGGCTTCACTAGTGAAGTGAAGCCCTGCCAAACGGGGCCTAAATATAGACTAAAAAAATAACTAATTACACAGATTGCGACTAATTTGCGAGACGAATTTTTTAAGCTTAATTAGTTCATGAGTTGACAACGTGGTGCTACAGTAAACATGTGCTAAAGACGGATTAATTAGGCTTAATAAATTCGTCTCGCGGATTACTGAGGACTTCTATAATTTATTTTATTATTAATATTCGAACACTCCCATATGACAACACACCTGATATGACGTCCCTAAACTTTAGTTCCTGGATTTAAACACCACCTCATAAAATGTATCTTGCAACATCAAATAGGATTGTAGAACAATTTACAAGTCACAGCTCACAATCACAACTCCCAGCGCGGAATCACAATACTGATCTCAGAAACAGAAAATTAATATGGCTCTGCTCCTAGACGTTGCCTTCCTGGCTTCCTGCAGACCGAGCAAAGAGAGTACAGAGAGAACATCGAGAGTTTGGCCAAGGATGAGGTCACGGGGACGCGGTCATGCCGGGCGGATGGCGCCTGTCCTCTAGCTTCGGCACGGTTGTGAAGAACTGGAGCGCTAGCCTGCGAGCCAGCGGGACGAGCGCGAGCTGCGTGACGGCATCGCCGGCTAGTGGTTGCAAGAGAGCACCTGAGGGAGGGAGATCGAGATTCGAGAGAGTGGAGCGCTTTGCGGCGGCTGCTGGTGAGGAACTATCGAGAGAGAGAGGATAGAGTTAGCTGGTTACTCTTGCAATATATACTCTGCTCTTGCATTGGGCCTTTTGTGGGCTGCTAGTAGATCACACGTCTTGGGCCTCGCCAGTATGTAACAAATCGGAGCGGGGAAGCGGGAAACGGGAACAGGAACATACGACCATCCCCGCCCGTGTGAGACCCGACTCGGATGGATTTCCCCCCGTATGAGGGAGAAACTGCTCCCATCCCGTCCCTAACAGGGGAATTCCCCGTGAGGAATCGAGGATCGGGTTTCCGTTGTCATCTTTACCCTAAATTCCTTGCTACCCTACCCAGACTCTATCCGGTCCTTGCTAGTATCGTGACACTCGCTCATGCCTCCCAGTTGGGGTCGTGGCGCGCTGGTGCGGGCAGTGGGTTCTGGGCGTTCTTCGTGTTAAGAATATTCGTATATTCTCTAATGATCAATTAAGGAGATGTAGCAACTGCTAAAACAGTTCCTCGCTAGTGGAAAACGTGGGAGCGGGGCTCCAAATCGTGACTCATGCGCCTCTATTCTTGATGTCTTACACGTGTGATGGGAGGAAATCACATAGCTGAAAGGTGGATGGAGCAACTGAATCTTATAATACTCAGAAACTCCACGCCTCCACGAACGAGTAACCACCTGGTGCTGCGGAGACTCCGTGGTGTTTGATTTTTTTTTTTAAATGGCACGCGGCACCCATCCATGTTGGGGTCGTACGGAAGCAGATTTGGACGCAGGGTTCACTGAATTTTATTCCCCTCCCGTAGGACGTGCAAACTGTCCAAAAGGGCCTGTATAAATATGTACTCCTATTCATTAACAAAGGATACTTTTCACTTTCTACTGTTCCCTCTAGTTTCACTGTTCCTATTATAACACGTTATCAGCGTTTCTACCGCTGGGCGAAAGGGAAGGCCAGGAGCAGTTTGTGAGAAGAAGAAAAGCAGTTTCGTGAAGGAGAAAGCAAGATCAAGGTACAATGCCTCCACTGTCGTATGCACCTTCGGCTTCGCTGGTTCTTCGTCTTGTCTTCATGGCGTACTATCGCGCTCGCCGTATGGGCTACCCCTTAGACGACCACCATACCAGGGCATCGCTGCTGCACTCACTGCAGGTCGCCGGACTCGTCGTCGACGCACGGGGCCTGCTGCGGAGGTGATGCCACCACCGCCCTTGATGGGAGTACCTGATGGAGGCAGGTTCCCGATCTTCCGTCAAATTCGTGATAACTATCTTCCGTCATCTGTTATTCATCTTGTAATCCTGTTTTTGGTATATATAGGAGTAGAAAGAATGGAAATGTTCTCATAGGTTGTGGAGATGCTTACGGGCCTGGAGCCCTGGAGGCAGCGCGCGTGTTAGAGAATTTGAGCTTCCATTGTGGGCCACCATGGCCCCGTAATAAGCATGTACAAATCCCCGACCGTGGCGTCCCTGACGGCGCTCGCCCTCGTCGTCGTCCTCCTCGCCACGGCGCACCGCCCGTGCTCCTTCCTCGACGCGTACCGCTCCGGCGTCTCCCTGCCTGTTTCCCCGTCCGGACCCTCGCACCCCCGCGCCCCGGGCGCCGCCGCCGCCGCTGATGCAGCATAGTCGGCTAATAAGAAACTAAAGCTATGTCGGTAAGTCGGTTTGGGAAAAGTCTATAAAGCTATGTATGCATGGACTCATATGACTCCTTTCCTTTGGTTGCTCTTCAGTTTCCTCTGCATTATCCTCTTGTCCCCAGTAGTTCCAACAGCTCCCCGCAGGTACTTTCCCACATGGAACGGCAGTGTTCCGGGCTAACGATCATAGGCTCCAGCGTCCTTGCGTGCAACTCGGCGCTCGCCATCTACAACTCCTGGGGCGACGCCGGCTCCTGCTGCTCTTCCCCTGCCTCGTCAAGTTGGAGCGCGCCAGGGGAGGAGGAACAAGGCGCAGGCTGAAGGCCGCCGTGTGGGCTCTCACCACGCTGCTCACGGCGATGTTCGCGTCCAGGGTGGCGCCGCTGATGCCGCCGGTCGTGGCCACGGTGGTGTGGCTCATGGGCGCGGCCACGACGGCCGGCGGGTTCTGGGCCTTCTTCCTGAATTAATGTGCGTTTTCCTTTCGGATTGCTAGCTCCTTTATGGTATAGAACTGTAGATTTGATCTGTTGTGCGCAAGATACTGTACGTATTAATGGCATTGCATCATTGTAACAATCTATTTTTTATGTAACAAATGGTTATCACTTGTATTTATACAGTATCATCTACTCTATATACTCTAATGTAACCAAATTAGGTCATGTTTGGTTACCCCTCCTAAAAACTTTAGGAGCTAAAATCTGGATAAAATTTGCCTAAAGAACCAAACACCTCCTACTAAAAGCTTCTAAAAACTTTAGAAGGGGCCGAAAACTTTAGGAGCTCCACCCCTCCTAAAAGCTCCTAAAGTCCCTTCTGGACCCCGTTACCCCTCCCGACCGCACGCGTTTCAACCCCCCGCGCCTATCCCCATTGTTCCTTTTCTGCTGCTTCCTTCTCTCACCCCCCGCCCCCATCCCACCCCCCGCCGCTCCCTGCCTCCTCCACGCCGGGCGCCCACCGGATCCGCCGCCCCCGCTCCCTCACGCCGTCGGATCCGCCGGCTCCTCCGCCCGTGCTCCATCCCGTGGCCCGGCTCCGGCGCAGCCTGCACCTCATCCCCCAACTCCCTGCTGCTCTCGCGTCCCCCACCCCACGCGCCTCCGCCGGCGAGCTCCATGCGGCGGCGGCTCGTCCTCGGCATTGGCACCCCGGCCGTGGCGCCGCCGGCGGTGCTGCGGGATGGGGCGGCCACGCTGTTTGTTACCGTGGGCGCCTACGCCCTGGTGCGCACCTTCGACGTGCTCACCGAGCGTCGGCTCGTCGAGAAGGTCTCGGCCTTCGCTGATCCCCCAGTATTTCTTGTCTTGTATGAAACGAAGTTTTAGCGCAAAATCCGTCGTGTTTGGATACGTCGCATGTCCCTTGCCATAATCGTGAATTGATTGGCCCCGTTCGCGTGCCCTTAAACCTGGCTTGATCCGCTTCTTTTTTTTTATCCGGAACAGTGTTTTCCTCTCACAGATTCCTCCAGATTCATCCAGATTCCTCCAAGCGAACGGGGCCATTGCTGCTCAGATTGATCCGACGATTCGCTGAATTCGGAATTCGTAACAAATGGGGTTGTGGTTTTGATTGATCAAAGGAGCATAAAAGCCATCATTTACTAATGATGTTTCTTGTTCGCTTCTGATTCATGTCATGAATAAAGGCAGAGTTTGAGCAGGAAGATTCTGCATGTGCTATCCGGCGTTCTGTTCATGTCATCCTGATCACTATTCAGGTATGCCATTCCACCGCATGGAGCATCAGAATGTTCACATTTGGAATGGCACAGCTTAAGAAAAGGGTGCATGTTCACCAGGAGCTAGCTCCTTTATGGTATAGAACTGTAGATTTGATCTGTTGTGCGTTTTCCTTTCGGATTGCTAGCTCCTTTATGGTATAGGACTGTAGATTTGATCTGTTGTGCGCAAGATACTGTACGTATTAATGGCATTGCATCATTGTAACAATCTATTTTTTATGTAACAAAT